GCGAGCCAAGCCACCTGTTCGCGCCTGAGTCCGGCCGCCAGGTCGCGCCAGTGCTAGGCTGCCAGCTCGCGCCTCCAGGTCGGCGCCTATGCCAGGCTGCTAGTTCGGCGCCTGGGCCAGGCTTTCAACTCACGCCAGGGTCAGGCCGCCAATTCGCGCCTGGGCCAGACCGCTAGGTCGCGCTAGGGTTAGGCCGTCAGGTCACACCTGGGCTAGGCCGCCAGGTGGGACACCATCAACTTAGGCAAGTTGTTGCCTAAGTGGTTCCAGGTGTCACCTAGTTGTGTCACAATATCATTGGAGGGACAAATCCGCCCTCATCAGTTGCAGCTGATGTAAACTTAAATATAAGGCTACAAGCGAATCGATTCAAATTTGGATAAGGGTATATCCAAATCAGATTCAACAAAAATTGATAAATCTAAATTTGATTCAATGTCCAACAAATATATAAAATATGGAATATAAATTTGCATATATTTATACCATTAGACCCCGGAGGGGGGGGCATAGGCTCCTGTAATTGACTTGATGGAGTCAGTTTCAAGAATTTGGAATTAAACCCTACTGAGTAACAAATTGGATAAGGTCGGTTCAAATGTCAGTTCACGATCAGTTCCATTTAGTTCCGGATATAACCTACCATTTTCCCACTCCCTACTTTCTCCTATTTCGATTCTCTCTCTTACAAAGTAGGGGACCATATAATCTTGGTTCCTATTTCACTCCCAAACAAATAACTCTCCTATCTATGCTCTTTTACATATAAGGTGGGTTTTACTTCTATCATAAAGTAAACCAGAATTTATACTAAACTTATTTGAACTCCCATGCATTCACATCGGTGCAATTTTACTTTGCACTGCTGCAAATAGAGCCTGACGGACCAAGGCTCAAGGCAAATATCTAAATAATCCGATTGGCTTAAGGGCCGGGTCATATGATCATATCTTGAAATCCAATTCAAACCGATTATTGCTTAATAAAATTTATGCTGAACCATTTACAAGCCTACTTAAATGGGGCAAACAACGAGGGTGTTTGCCTACCTAAAGCAAAACTTTAACTATTGAAAGTTCTTGAACATCAGTAGCTTTGCATCCCATTTTTACCCCTCAAAAGAAAAAGTAAAAGAAAAAAAAAAAAACTATTCATTTTACCAAGGGTTTGTTTGATAACAGTTGAAGTTAGGGGCAAGGTTCAAAATATCGATACGTCGGTGTGGGTGTATTGGGCAAATTAATATTGTTTTTTTAGTTTTTTTTTTCTGAAACCGGTTCAGGGGGGTCGGTTTAGGGCTCCTCCATCCCCTGAACCGGTCAGACCCCCGATACACTCACTATAGGAACATATCGAAGGGGTCCCAGAATGATACGTACCGGCCGATACAGGCCGATATGTGTCGATACTTTGAACCTTGGTTAGGGGTGGCCACAAGCCAAGCCTTTCACGAGCTATTCGAGACCGGCTCGGTTTAATCCGAGCTTCAAGATGAATTCGAACCTGATATATAGGTTCATTTGCTAATTGAGCCTAGCTCGAGCCCAATGAAGTTCCACTCATGAGGCTCGCGAGCCTAGTATTAAATAAATAATTTTTATTATTTATACATACATACATACATACATACATACATACATACATACATACATACATACATACATACATACATACATACATACATAATGTAAAATAAAAATAATATTAAATAATTTTTATAATTCTTAATTTTTTGTCTGAAAAATAAAAAATAATTTTAAACATATAATTTTTATTTTTCAAAAAGACTTGGCTTATAGTCGAGCTCGAACTGTGAGATATGAACCGAGTCAAGCTCGAGCTCAAGTCGCTAGCTCAAATTGAACTCAAGCCTGATACTATTCCTACGAGCCAAACTTGAATAACCAAGTATTCGGTTTGCCCTAGCTTAAGTGATTGAACCTTTTAGTAAATAATTCATTAACTAAGCTGTTAGCTCATTAATTTCATTTTTTTTTTCGTGAACTCCTTAATGATTGATGCCAAAGTTGAGTTGATTAATATACCTGAGCTATGAATATTTTATTTTATTTGATAATTTTATCCACTAAAAGACTTAAGTAACAAGTCTGTCAGTTCAGCAAGCCATTATCAAGCGGACCCTAAGGCTATGTTTGGTTTGAAGGAAAAGGTAAGGAAACCTTTACAAATCTTGTATTGGTTTCCCTGTCTTTCCCTTCCTTTCACTACCTTTTTCCTTCAAACCAAACATAGCCTAAGATTTAATAATTTCCGCCTAAGAGCGGTGCTTGCAGCAAAAAGTTAAACGACTCAATCTATATCGGCATTCAAGAGCTTCTAACATTTTAATTTTTCTAAAATTTATTCGTGGTCTTTTAGAAGTTAGAACTACCCATCAGTGTTGGGCAACCCATTTGTACTATGACCGGTGTCTAGGGCTGTACCAAGTCCAAAAGTCCAATACCTAATTGGACATCCTATCCTATCCAATTAAATTTTATTATATATATATATATATATATATATATATATTACATACATACATACACAAGGATATGTATATGGATAACGTATATAATCATATACAATTTATAATTAATAAATTTAATATTTTCAATTTATATAAATCTATTTTAGATATATAGCATAAAATATATTTATTTTTTTATTTTTTATATTCTAAAAATAATGAAACAGACTTGAATTAAATTGAAATTCGATCCGAAAAGTGAAAACAATTCCAGCCTCCTAGTTTGGATTTGGATTAAGTTTTCAATAATCAGATAGGAATTTGCCGAAC